GAGAAATTCTGTCTTGGTCACTTGTGGGAGTGAAAGGGTTAAGAGCTTCACTACTGGCGGTGATCATTTCCTTTATTGAATTTTTGGTTCAGCTGTCATAAGGTAGGAAGAAATTAGATGCTTATCACTCTTAGGGGGTCAAAGGCCTTACCACAGTTCAGCTGTGATGATAGATTTGACACAGCTGACTTTGTCATAAATATATCTCTTTTGCAGCATTTTCCGTTGTACCGTAGAAATGAAGTGAGATGTACAGGAGTTGATGCCCCTCCTGACGAAGAAAAGCGCTCCAAAAACAGAGAGAAATGGGAAGTGGTTTCCAAGGAGATGTCTCAAAAGCTTTTGTCATTACTACGTCCACGCCTAGTACTGAGTGGCCACACCCATCATGGCTGCTATCTGTTGCACGATGATGGTACCCCTGAAATGACGATTCCTTCGTTCAGCTGGAGGAATAGAAATAATCCTAGTTTTGTTTTGGTAAGTTTATCAGATAGAATAGCGGTGAATTAAGTGTTTAGAGGATTCCAGGGTTGTGTTGGTTCTGCTTCAATACGCCGGGATGTGATTGTTGTTAATAACTAGCGTCACCCTCTCAACTCATTAGAAAAGCTACAACAACGACCTTCCGATTAGTACTTCGGATGCTCTACCGAGTGTTCCCGATTAGAGTCGAACCTATGACCTTCCGATTAGTATTTCGGATGCTCTATCGAGTGTTCCCGATAAGAATCGAACCTAAGACCTTCCGATTAGTACTTCGGATGCTCTACCACTGAGCTAAAGATGACTCGTAATGTCCATTCTTCTCATTCTTTTTGCCGCTCTCTTGAATATTCCTTGCCACAATTATATTCCTCCAAGGTGTGTCCGTGGAGAATTTTAGGCAACAGAAGCTTCAAAGAGTTAACTTTGGTGTTTATTTTCCTTTTTTAGAGCGTCATTTCCCCGGAAAAGTTCGCTCTGTCAAAATGTTTTATTCCTCGGGAGAGCACGGTAATTGCAGTGTATATCATTGGAGGAATCGTGTTTGTTGTAATGAACTTTGGACTTACATATACATCCCTTAGAACTCGTAGAAAATTCAACTCTTGTGTTAGATGACACAGGGTCTATTAATGCAAAATGTCTGTGGTTTATTTTTCCTGTCCTGAACAAAGATATGTTGCAAATGAATTGTAAATGAATTTCAGTGAGTCCTTAATTTATAGTAAATACATAAGAAAATTGTCTCGAGACCATTTTAAGCTATGGAAGGGGAAACGAAATAAAATTGAGATAGAATTACGACGTGTTTGCTGGACTTGCATCGTTTTGCATCTGCATAATGATAGACAAAAGTATCTTATTTACAGAAAAGTATTTTATCAAGCACATTTTGGATTCTCATGAGTGCGATTTCCGTGGGGGGATTTTTCTTGTCGGAGTTGAGAAATGTTGCCTAATTTAGAGACATGGATTTCTTTTGGTAATTTTTCGAACGATTTGAAGGCTAGGAAACAATCAGCAATAAATAATCACAATGGTAACTGAAATTTGGTTGAATACCACTCTAGTGGAAATATGAAGTGAATGGTCCTCTCTGGCCGGAGGGGACTGGAAGAGAAAGAGAGAACCTAGGTAACTTTGATTAACAGTTGGTGCAATTTGTTGCTAAACGCTGTTACTGCTCAAGTTGTAAACGAGAACCAAAGTGTGGAAAAAAAAGAAGCACAAGCAATTTTGATGTTAGAACTTCCTACCAGGTGGCAATTTGGAACGTTTACGTCTCAAGCAGTGGATACTATTTTGTCCAACAATACCTCCACCTCGTTCCCAGATTCGACGAAGTGAGAGGACCCTGGAAAAGAGGATGGCAACAATTCTTCTGATTTGTTCCCATGATCCTTAGGACAAGTGATGCCGAAAGGCGGAACAATTTCCAAATGGCTGCCGTATTGCCAATTTCCAAATGGCTGATGTCTCTTTCTGCTTGTTTCTTTCACTAAAAGCTTTTACCGTTTAAGTAAACAAACTTAAACTTGGCAGCACATTACGGACAATTAAACGAAAATTTGTTCTGAGGGGAGACTTCTTTAAGTAGATGCTCAATCTGCTCAAAAACGTTCACCAACCATACATTCTCTTAAAATTTGGGTTTTGTTTCTCCAGAATTGAGTGGCAATCTGGGCCAAAGTCTTCTGTGATCTGCCTGTGCGAGGGTCGCTTCTTTTGTGGCTTTGGCAGACGACTCAGGGCGTGAAATTAATTTTTTTTTCTGATAGCCACCTGGTTCCTAAATTCTTCAAAGTGGTAGCCAATTCAAAAAAAGTTGGTCGCCATTTTCAAAGACAAACAAAATCTTTCTTTACGCTGTCAGCGTTCTAGATAGACCTTCCAAAATTAAGTTAGGGAAAAGATCTTTAACGTGCTACAAAGAGGACACTAGGATGGATGATACACAAAGTTCAGGCTCATCTAAATCCAAGATGGCGTCTAGTTATCGCTCGAGATGCATGTGCTACGTTTTGGAAACAAACTTAACGAGGAAGTTTGTAAGGATTTATCTTTGCAAATCTTTTTAATTCACTATATCCCTTGGTAAGGTTATGATGAAACGTTCTGGTCGCCAATTTGGCGACTAACTTTCAGGATTTTGTCGCCAAAGTGAAAAATTTAGGCGCATTGGCGCCTGTATTAGGCGCAATTTCACGCCCTGCCGACTTCCGTATGCTTTAAGAGAAAACAATGTTAACAGCTGCAGTTTGCTTGTATGCTCGCTTTTTGAAACAACGTAGATGCCGGTTTAACGTATAAAAATACAGGCGATTTTCAAGTTGGTAAACAAAATTATTGAAAAGCACAGGATCGAAAAAGCCTTAAGATTAATCTCACTAACTGTCAAAGGCAACAAAAAAAAAACCGCACACTGTTTGATTTTGTTTGAATACTCCTGTCTTGATCTTGACAATACTTTAAGTGGCCTAGAGGCAAATATGTACTCCACAAGACACTGTCAAATTAATTTATTTTGTGCAAGATTAATTAAGATTTCTTTGTTGGATTCGACGAGTCATAATGCTCTTGTGATATTCAGCTGATCATGGGTCCTTTAGACCAATCAATTGGCAGGCACAAATCTTCCATCATTTCTAGTTAAAAGTGTTTTATTGCTGTTATTAAGAAAACGTTTGATGTTCACCGCAATTTGACAGCTGTTCATTTTAATTTCACTGAATTTATTTTGTCTTTGGAATAATTTATTTGATATCTCGTTTCCTTTACCGGCCCCGGCTTTCTTTTGTTTTCTTTCTCCACCTAAACCGTTTCTTTTGGGTTGTGTGAATTGAATTGAGACAAGGCACAATATTTGTGGCGAATTAAGTGAGTAAAATCCCTTTTTCTTGATAACCCTGTTTGAGTGTTTTACCACGCTGATGGTTATTGCGAGCCATTATTTTGCACTTATGGGAAAACTTTCCAACTACGTACGTCAGAACAGAGAGACGGAGTTTATTTACAAGTGTGAGAAAGAACAAAAAAATTGTCTTTACAAATCGAAATTGACTTTTGCGCCGTTGTTGAGGTGATAACTCGATAGCATTCACTAGCTTTATTACCATCGACATTAAATTATGATTATAGTTAACGACTTTAAATGCATTTCGACTTTATATTAAATATAACATAGACAAAGTGCTTAGGAGAAGACAGCCCTTGTTCAAAGCGTTTTAATGGTCGCATCAAGTGTTCCTTCTTTCATGAACTCTTGGGATTTAAATTCATTTATGTAGCCAGCTTTACCTTGCGCTTTTGAAAAACAAGTCAAAGTTTTTTTGTTTTTTTTTTTTTCATTTCAAATTAAAAAGAGACACGCCCCCGAATGAAAAATAATTTTTTGTAATAAGAACTCATGCATGACAATCAAGTTTTTTCTTCAAGAGGCTCAAGTATGTGCATTTACGTTTTAATTTTGATCAGTTCAAGAAAGTGACTGTATTCTATCGTCTTCAAGATCTAAACTTTTGTCTTACAGTCTGTTGATTAAAACTATTGAGACAAAGATGATAAGAACCACCATTTCGCTTACGGCTTTAGTACAAATTTGATCCATGTAAGCCTTTCTTGTTTATATTTTCCTCGAAAACCACGAACCAAGATTCCTTTTTTTTTAGGTTCAACTTGCTTTGTGTCAGCTCCGGCACCTGCTAAAAAGTAGGCGAGATCTGTTCATGTACAAAACAAAGCAGGTGAAAATTTTGCTCCTTTTTTTCTGATTATTTTTCTTCTTTATGACAAACGTGACTGCCTTGAATCAAAATTTCGGCTTAGGCGTGGGTTCCACTGATGCATGCAGATTAAATATAGTACCCTGGCAATTTAAAGGGAACTGAAACATTTGCTCTTTCCATTTTTTTTTTTTTGTTTCATTAGAGACGCTATGGTGATTATTTTTCTTCTTTATGACAAACGTGACTGCTTTGAATCAAAATTTTGGCTCAGGCGTGGTGACCACTAATGCATCCAGATTAAATATAATACCCTGGTAATTTAAAGGGAACTGAAAAACATGACCGCCATTCCTAGGATGTTATGTCTATGAAAGTATATCGCTTTGAAAAACAAACTAACTTTTGGCTCCAATTTTCTAAAGTTTTCCTTATTCATTCATGGCGATTTATTTTCATGGGTTTTTTTTTTTTCGTTTTACAGATATTTTGACGTTTTGTTCCGTAAACGCACCTCAAGACGCATCCTATGAAATCTGTGAAATTATTTTCAGGTGTCGCGTTAATCAATGAAATAGGATGACTTCTGTGGGAGTTTTGCAATTATCTTACAGTAGTAAACTGGGTGCACAAAATGTGTCCTTTGTTTGAACGTATCTTTGTTTGACACATGAATTAACATAAAAAAAATAAATAGACAAAATAAACAGTGAATACCCAGAAACTTTTAAAGAGAGAACTATAATTGTTTGTGTTGTTCTCTATATGAACACTATGTATTGATGTATTCTTTCTGCACTTTAAACGCCGTTTTAGTGCTTTGAAGATGATTTTTTTTCTCGTTCTAAATCATTTATATTTGAGAGATCATCTCAAGCTGTAGGATAGTCAAGCTCATGAATACAGATCAAAAGAAGGCGCTCTTAAAGCTGTAAACCCGTTAGCAAGAGCCTCTTAGAAATTAACTTCTGTTTCCAAGGACCCATTTTTACGCGCATGAAAAAATTAGTATATTCTGTGACAGTTTTTCTTTTTGTTTCAATAAAAGTTGTTCCAGGAGGTGTGTTTTCATAGCTACGAATAGTTCATGGTTTCCTTTTCATTGCTATTCATACAACTCTGTCGTCTAGGTCGACCGCATTTTCATTGTGCCCTCCCATTTCCAGCTCTTGGCAATTCAAAAGACTTTTGAACTCGTCTCTATATCTTCTGTTAAAAACTGTGTAAACGATGGGATCTGCAGCACTGTTAGCAAACACAAACATGTTAGCCAAGATAACCCACGTATTGCACTGTGCACATTTGTTATCGCTGAAGAAATCGAGTACTAACCAGGCAATATGGTTTGGTAACGCGCATACGGCAAATACTATAGTTATAACAATCGACATTTTCAGCACTTTTTCTGAGTCTTTTATCTGATCTGGCTGTGCGACTGGTACTCGATCTCCGTTTAACCGTAGTTCGCGACAAATTTTGAGGTATGAAACAAAGACAACAGGCAGTGGTATTGCGTAGTCCGCAAAGAATATTGTAAACGAGTAGATACGACTGTATGTTTGCTTTGGTTCCGGCCAACCCTCTTCGCAATAACCAGTTAAAGGGTTTACTCTGAGGACCAACACGTAGGGAAATACCAAGACCAGTGAAGCGAGCCATATGAGATATATGGACTTTTTTGCGTCAGCGAGACCGATTTGAGTCTTCAAAGGATGAACTATAGCGCGATACCGACTGTAACCGATCGCCGTCAACGTGAAAACGGACGCGCTAGCGCACAATGTTTGTAATGGAAAGAGTATCTTACATAATGCGCCGAAGTATGGCCAGATGCAAGACTTCTCTTGAACGGGAAGATCAAATGGTATACATATTAGCGTGAACGCCAGATCGGCTGCGGCTAAATTGACTAAATAATAATTCATCACTGTTCGCATGCGAAGTCTTTTCCAAACTACCCAGCACACAAAGCAATTCCCACTCAGGCTCACGGCAAAAATTGCGCCAAAGATAAAGTACTTTAGGATCTTCACCACTAATTCATGCCTTGGAGGAGGACAAATCTGTATGGACTGATTTGACTGCGCAATTGTTTCCCCGATAGTTGCATTCAAAGCCGACATGTTTCAGGCGGTGGAAGCGATTCCGCCTCTTGACCAAAACCGAGTTTATCAGCGAAGATATGATATTAATTTATATCGCTGAAATTTAATCGCAGTGGACATTTGGCTAAACGTCAAACACTCAATGGACTTTAGATGTCTTGGCCAGTAGGCGTCGACCTCTTGAGGCAGGTGATGCAACAAATCCTAACTAACAATGTGCAAATATATTTACTTTTCCCGCACCGTACGATGCGTCTTTCGTTAACGAAGCTGACTTATAGAAAACCTGCGTCGCTGGTCAAGCAGTTTGGGAGATGAGAAATTTCGTGTTGGAGTGTGAGCCTGCGTTTGCATAAGTCACGGAAAATTGATCCACTGTCAATGTATCTGCATTGCTCACAACCTGATGCAAATTCGACTTTAATTTCCACGCGCACAGAATGTTTCTTATCTTTTTTTATACGGCTAGCATTAATGGTCAACACAGTTTTAGGGTTAGGGTTAGGAGTGCCGTATGGGATTATTATTATCAATCTCACAATAATTGAAAGGAGGGCAATTCACCAAGAATCGGAGATGCGGTTATTACATCCCCACCGCAGTGGGCTTTATTTTGGCAAATGCGCAGTTGCCTAGGGGCACGACATAAAGTACGCTCGAGGCAATCGAGGCAAAAAGTGGCCATCTGGCCAAGAAAAGGCAATTTTTGAAAACAAAGATAAATTTCTGTGACTTTTTTCTAAAAAATGTCCTGGTAAATATCTGCCCATTGAACACGCTCTAGGTCAATTCCCTCCTGATCTAACATATATTTCTTCATGACTTCAATTCAATTGTCAACTTCTTTTTCAAATTCACTTTGAAAACATCATATCCGGAATACGCATTATAGAAAATAAAATTGGATTTTCGCATTCTACTCGCTTTACGTTTAAGGAAGAGAGACAACACACTGTTCTATGCACCCAAAGGCACATATAAAGAGGATCGAAATTGCTCTAAGTTGTTACAACAGCTGGCGCAAGGTTTGCAAGGAAGGATGACTCCATTTGAGTTTTTCCACCCACGCAAGTTGAGTTGTTAATTCTTGGCGTTCATAATTTAGACATATCTCTTTCATTTTATACACACCATAAACTGAAATTCACAGTGTGTTATTTCAGATAAGACTAAACATAGATTTTTTTTCTGAAGCGGTGTGACACTGAAAAGCTTGTGTATATGTAATAGAAAATGGATCACAATCAAAAGTGTCCGTAAAGGCCTATTTACA